TTTTTTTTTTCTTTCTTCTAGCATTATTCATAGATTCACACGTGTACATTAAATGAGTAACAGATAATTACTTTTAGAAAACTTACATTGAATAGAATTCTAAGAATCAATTAGTGATATTCTTTATTATTATGATAATTAACTGAGAATCGAAATCTTCAATAAAAAAGCAAGTTTGAATAAATATTATGAAATTATTGATATTTAGTCGTTATAAATTCAATGTATTCACTTTCTTTATGCATTACCATACATTTATTTTATTGTCGATAACATTTGATGGTTCACTAAAACTCTGTAAGAAGATCGATCTACTATTAACGTGATTCATAAGCATTACTAGAGAATTAAATGTAGATGACAACAAAGATTTACATAATCGTAAGGAGAATGTAAGAAGAATAGCAATATCTATTATTGACTTTCAATATTAAGTCAACAGATGAAGTAATATATAGATTGCTGTTTGAAAATCTTCTAGGCATAAAACAGATATTTATTCTTGAAGAAACGAATTTAGACGAAGCATATGGTGAAAAAAATAATCATATAGAACGACAAAAGCTTAACAAGAACCGAACACTTTTACGTAAGTTTTTACTTTATATATAAAATTAATTTCAATAAAAAATCTTCATTTATTTTAGATGATGTATAACTATATTTTATAATTATTTTTTTTCGTGAATACATAAATTTTATGACTAACATGTAATATATCACAATATTATTTAATATCTTTGATTTGTCTAGATTATATAAATGGCAACAGCCAATCGTTTTCAAACTCGAGTAGTAGTACCTGATAAAAGTTCATTATCACATAATGAAATTCGTCTTAATTTACTTTTAACTCAAGCTCAAACATATCTTCAAACATTAAATGATCTTCAAATAAATGAATATAATAATAATGAAATTCGTGAATCAAAATTTGATTATTGGTCATCGCATATGTTTGAAAAAATTGATCATTCATATAAAATATGTTTACATGATTTAAAACAATCATTTGAACAATTAAAATTATTTCAACAAATGATGATTAATATATTAAATAATGAAAATGAAAATTATCTTGATGGAAAAAAATTATCAACTATTGAACATGAAATATGTATTTTAAAATGTTTAACATATCAACTTGATACAACAAAAGTTAAAATTGAAGGAAAACTTAAATCGAATCAAGAATTTAATCATGATGAATATGATATGTCAAATGATGATGAAAACTATTCAGATAATCAAACGAAATTAAATGAAAAAAAACCAAATAAAGATTTTCTTTGTCGAATTTTAATACCTTATGATGCAATTAATAAAATTGAAGATTTACCTCTTTTTCAACAATATGTTCAAATGACAACAAATCAAATTAATGAAGCAACACCCGAACGAATTTTAACTATTAATGGTAATATAATAAAACAAAAGAAAAAATATATATGAAATTTTTTCTTTAGGTCCTCATCATTTAGATGTTATTGAAAATATACTTTCTACTTTATATTCATCAACAATAAATCCATGTGAATTAAGAATTTTACTTCATCAATCATATGCACCATTAATACTTGGAAAATTAGGTGATCGTGCAAAGATTTTACGTGAAAAATATTCTTTACATACATTAACAATTCATCCAACATGTGCACCAAAATCAACTGAACGTGTTCTTCTTATACAAAGTTCATCGAGTGATGAAATACTTGCTTGTTTAAAAGAAATATTTATTAATATTAATCAACATATTTATGATGGTGATGATCTTTTACTCTACAATGAAATGTATGTATAGTATTCTTACGAAGATTTTATTCTTGATTTACACAAAAAAATTGTGTATTAGAATTTAACCTTCAAAAATCAAATCTCTATTCGAACTATACTGTATTAGTCATAGCAACGAGTGAAGAAAGTTATGTTAAACTAAAATCTTTAGAATAGTACATAGGCTGTCCGATTCTTATGAAATAACTAATTATTCGAAAGTAAATTTGTAATATCAAAGATTATCAAAAACAAAGAATTACATTCTATTATTTCGATAGAGGATAGAATGATCTTAACCCTTTACACCCTGGCGCGGTTCTAGAAGAGCTACTGATGAAACAACGATTGGAATAGAGTATTGGTGCCTCCAATATGCTAAAAGTATGGGCAGATCGATCAAACACAGACTTGAGTTTCACGGTAGTTTGTTGAGGGGGGGGGGCGGTAGGGGGATCGACTTGAAAAAATCTCAGGGACTTTCCGTAATACTCATGTAGTTTCGCAAAAAAACATCTTAGAGAGCTCGGAGACGTCTTATTTTGTAAAGAATTGTTCACGCTATAATATTACATGGTTTAAATAAAACGTTATTATCGGGGTGTGGACGTCGAGAACCTAAGGTGTTGATTTTCAGAAATCCTCGAGTGACCGTTGTCTGCTTTAACATATCTTACCTACCTAATGCTTTTTAAATTTTTGAAACTTATATAATCTACTAGTAGACACTTCCCTCGATGTAAATCACACAGCATGCCGCCGAGATATATATTGCTTAGAGATAGAAAAATGATTTTAAAAAAAATTTAATTTTTTCATATTTTTTCGAAATTATTGATTTTAAAAGTCATTTATCTCGGAGACAGAGCAACAAAACAAAATATTCTTTTTGCCAATCGATAGCTTATGGAGTTCCCTACAAATATTGTTTTGGGAGTTTTCGAGTCTCATTCTTTCCTTATTTTCTAAAATTTTTTTTATGAATGGGTCAAAAATGACCTACCAGGGAGGGGGTAAAGGGTTAAAATCCGGTTTTTCATGTTCATGAATATGTTACATGATGAAATTAACTAATGATATACACTATAAAATCTTAATGCATCGAAAGAACTGCAGATCTATGATCACACGTATAAATATTATAATTTTTTTATGTTTGTAGTAATTACGATGCTTCACTTGCTCATGAATATGGTGGTTTTGCTTCATCTGAAATAATCTCACGTTCAAATGATCAACATAATCATGAACATGATGAAAAATTTCTTGAAGAAGAAGATGAAGGTATTCGTCGTTATTCAGCATTTGATGCTTGGAATGGTTCAGTTGAAGCTGATACAGATCATGAATTTTCTATTGTTAAACTTAGTGATGATTCAATTATACGAGAATTTTGGATAAATCATGGTCAATTTGGTGCTTTACTTGGTCCTCATGGTATACGTATTGCACAAATTCGTTCTCAATGTCGAACTGTTCGTATTCATACTGTCGCTGGTTCATCTATTGATACATGTTCAGTTAAAGTAATTGGTCCTCGAGCTGATGTTAATCGTGCTGTTAATTTAATAATTCAATCAATTAAAGAACATGATAGAAAATTTCCATTTAAACATCATCGTTTTAGTGGTCGACTTAGATAGTAATAGACAAAGTTTTATTTATGTTTTTGTTTCTAAAAATGAATATTTCTATGTATTTTGTTTTTGTTCATTTATTGCTTCTACGAAACACACACACACACAAATAGAAAAAAAACGTAAATTTTCAATGAATATCACGAATTATTCGATGTGTATATATTTGTACCATTATTATCATCCTAAACAAAACAATTTTATGTATATATAACAAAAATGAAGTTAAAGTTTTACTTTAGATTGTAATTCAAGTTGTCTAACTTTATGTGATTGATCGGAAAGTGTATCTAATGCTTCATGTAATTCCTAAGAGAGAAAAAGAAATAGAAATTTTAATTTGAGAAAAAAGAAACCAACGTGTTTTAATGTTTTAATTTCATAATCTTTTCGAGCAATTTTTTGATTCATATCACGTTTTACTGTTCGAAATTTTCCTGATGTATCTGGTGGACAATGATGATGAAGTGTTACTGTTGAACCACCACTACGACGAATTAATTCAGGTGGTTGAACTTGATCGATATTCTAAAAAAAAAGAATTTTGATAATATTTTGTTTTGTTTTGTTTTGTCTCTGAGAAAATGTTAACCTACTCGGCCAAGTTTAACTGATGAATTAAGACGTTTTTCTTGGTTTAAAGTATCTTGAGTTTCTCGAAGAGTATTTCGAAGAAATAAAGCTTCATCATCTTTTGTTCGTTTATCCATCTAAAGCGAAAATAATTTTTCTTTTAATCATGCAATTTTCAATCACAAATATATTACTTCAAGATCTTGTAATAAACCATTTTTTTCACGTAATAAAATTTCAGCTTGGCGTAATTTGCCTAAATCTTTTTCATAATCACGTAATAATTCTTCTTTTCGTGTTAAACGTTCGCGTAACATCTGAAAATATTAAGAATTAATTATTAAAAACAAACAAAGGAAAGTTTCTTACTTCAATTTTTTGTACTAAGATTTCAGTCGTACGTTGTCGTTGTTGTAAAGCAACATAACGATCAGTTGAGGGAAGAGAAGCTAATGGAGCAATATTCGAAAGACTATCATCATCGATATCAAGTAATTGAATCAATCGTCGAGCAAATGAATTATGCTAAAAGGATGAATGTATGTACTATAAATGATTAGGATCAACAATAAAATCACTATTAATTATGACTAACTGATCGATAGGATCTTTGAGTAGACTGATATTTAAATCTTACAAAAAAATACTATAGGAAATGTTCTTAAATTTATAGATTATATCATGATGAAACTAGTTCTTGACATATGATATTAGTAGTTCATCTTTCAAGTAAAAGATCTGATCAGGAATTATTAATTATACGTTTTTGAACTTACTAAATCATCACAAGATTGTAGTGAATTGATCGTTTCAGCATGTGCTGCTCTTTCTTCAACAACTTTCTGTGTTTCTAATACATGTTCTGATTGATTTGTTGTCGATGAGTGTCTTTGAGATTGTTGATGAATAGAATTTGCTCCCGGTGTTGTTGCTGTTAAATATGGAATATCAGTTGGTAAAGCTTGTCGTGCTCGTAATTCAGCTAATTCACGTTTAAGTATAACAACTTGTTGTAAAACTTTTTCATAGGATGGATTAACTGGTCGTAATTGTTCTAAAGATTTAATTCTTGCACGTAATTCATTTAAAGCTTCACGTTGTCGTCCAATTGTTAATTCATGTCGTTCACCTTTACATTGTGCACCAATGGCAACTAGTTCATGTGTGATTCGACCCTAATAAATAATATTAATTTATAAAAAAACCGATTCAAAAATTTCATTTTTACTTCATCTTGATTCGTTCTTTCAACTTGTTGAACAACTATATTATTTTGTTCAAGAGTTTTTGTTAAACGATCAATATCAGTTTGACGTTGATCAACTAATAATTGATATTGATCTACTAATACTTTCGCTTTTCTATTAAAATAAAATATAAATAAAAAAAAATAATTTTATTAAAAAAAATTTGTTTACGATAAATCTGTTTGTAATGTTTGAATTTGTGATGTTTGTTTATCAACAATATCACTTAATTTTGATAGTTTTAATCGTGTTTCATTTAATTCTTTATTCTGTTCACGAATTGTTACTTCACTTTTTTCTAATGTTTGTTTTTGTTTCTCACTTAATTCACCTTGAACATCAGATAAACGAGCTGTCATACCAACTAAATCTCGTCGTAATGAAATTATTATTTGTTCTTGTTCTTGTACACGTGATTTATACGCAAATAATTCATGACTAAATAACAGAAAAATAGAAACAAAAAATTTCGATTTTATTCAACGAAGCCAACCTGAGATCAGCAAATGGTGCGGTAAGAACAGGAACGACAGGAACAATTGTTTCAGTAACTGGTGGTGGCGGTGGTGATGTTGATGGACTATTTGCTAAAAGAAAAATAAATTTCTTTCTTTCTTTCTATTTATTTAATAACTTGGCAACACTTTTACAATTAGAATTTCAATCAAAACAAATAAATTTTGCTTGTCAATGAATAAGGTAAGACAACATATATAATGTTTTAAAAATTGTGAAGGTATTCATCATATTACAAAAGAAATAGAATAATATTTCAGAAATTTTAAAAGGTCATTGCAAGTTAGGATATAGTTTGAAATTGATTCCCTTTTTTTAATGATAAAAGGATCTTAACCCTTTCCGATTAATGTTTCCAAATGGTAACATTTTGCCGTAGGGAGTACGGCATTTTTCGAATGAGCGGCATGAAAGGGTTAACAGAATAATTATTTAACTTTGAATTTTTTCATCGAAATTTCAAAGACAAAAATACTTATTCAAGTAAAAAGAGACGATATTTGCGAACTGAGGATCTATGTGTATGACTTATTATTCCACTGTTACCGCGAGATCTAATTAATACTAAGATCGAGATTCTCAATTGAAACTGTAATGAAGGTTCTCAACTTCTTATTCTCTAAAAAAAGTAACCACAACCGTCCAATATATTCAGTACGAGAGTATACAAAAACTCTCCGTACGTATTAAAAATAATTATATACTGCTATTAGGGATGTGCAGTGTCAGTGAAAATATTGAAAAATTGACACTTAAAATATCAGTTCGGTGTCCACCGTGCCACTGAAAATATCAGTGTCAGTGTCCACCGAACACCGAATATAAGCGGTCGGTGCTCACCGTGGCACTGAAATATCGGTGTCAGTGTTCACCGAATATAAGTGGCCGGTGCTCACCGTGCCACTGAAACTATCGGCGCCAGTGTTCGCTGAACACGGAAGGTATCAGTTCCTAAAATATTTTTGTGTTAAACCTTATTATTTACGACAATATATCAGTGTGTTCACCGAAAAACTGGACGGTGAGCACCGAACACCGAAAATAAGTGTTCGGTGGACACTGACACCGATATCTTCAGTGCCACGGTGGGCACCGACGACTAATATTCGGTGAACACTGACACCGACATTTTCAGTGGCACGGTGGGCACCGACGACTAATATTCGGTGAACACTGACACCGACATTTTCAGTGGCACGGTGAGCACCGACCACCGAATATAAGTGTCGGTGAAAATCGTTGTCAGTGAAATCCGGTGCTCAATAAACCGACACTGCACATCCCTAACTGCTATATATATATCAATGAATTCTTATGCAAATTCTTTACCATTTTTATTTTGATTGTCAAAATCTGTTTGTACTCTAATACGTTTTTCTTGTTCTTCTCCCAAATCTTTTTCTAATTGTACAATTGTTATTGAAAACTGTCGTACTTGATCTTTATAAACTTGAATTTGTGAACTAAAATTTTTATAAATAAAAAATCTAAAATCTTTCGATTAAATTTAATTACTTTAAATCTTCAATTGTTTCATTCTTTTCTTTTTCTAGTTGACTTAATTCTTCCCTTTGTCTTTCATTAATATCAGCTACTTCATTTTGTTGTTCTTTCTATATCATAAAATATATATATGGATATAAAATTTCAAGTTTTTATTTACTATTTCAGTTAGTTGTTGTTCATATTCTTGTAATTTTGCTGTTAATTCATCTATTTTTTGTGTTGATTCAGTTTGAAGATCATTCCATTTCTAAGAAAAAATTAAATATAAAATCTATACCAATAAAAATATTTCTTAGTTATACCTGAAGATATTCACTATTTTCTGCTGTTACTTTTTCGAGTTGATCAGAAGATGAATGTGATTGTTCATCAAATTCTTTCTGCAATTGAGTCATTTGTTCACGAAGTCGATCACATTCTTCATTAAGACGTTGTTGCCAAAATGCACTAGAATTCGAAAATAAGTTTTTTTTTCTGATTATTTGATTTTCTTTATACTCTTTTTCTGCATTAGCTTGTTCTAATTCAGAACGAAATGTTTCTTCACGTGATGTTTGTTCAAGTGAGAAGTTTTGTTTTTCACGTTCAAGTTCTTCGTATTGACTACGAATTGATGCTAAAATAGTCTTTATAATTATTGAAAAGAAAATTTAGAAAACTTACAGAGATTTTGTTCATGATCATTTTGTTGAGTAAGTAAATTATTCATTCCAGAGATAAGTTTAGCATGATTATCAATAGCATTAATGGCTGCTCTTTTAAACATTCCAATAGGACTATCATCATCATTGTCAGTTCCTTCAAAGTCAGTTATTTCTTGTCGAGCACTTAAAAGAACATCTTCTGTTGTTTGTTCTTGTGTTGCATTTGTCTATTAAATAATTATTAACAAGTACAGAATTCAACAAATCAGATTAGGATATATTTTTTTCTATAATAGTATGTTTATGAAAATCTGATCATGTTTTAGAAAAACGTTTTTTAAAGCAATTGTTCTGTTTAGGAAGAAGCGAACACGAGACTAATACAAATTTCAAAAATCACTCCACTATATATACGATTATAAAACTTCAAGAGAGACTATATTCACACTGTTATTTCAGATATCTATAAAGAATATTTCTAATGATAAGTATTGACTATCAAAATATAATGCATGATATTTTCATTGTTGTAATAACTTACAAATATATCAATAAGTTTTCCAAATGAAACTTTAAATTGTTCATTCGATGATGACTGTGTATTACGTTGATTATCAATTTCATTACGAGATTGTTCTAATTGTTGTCGAAGTTGTTGAATTTGTTCAATAATATCATGTTGATCTTCATTGTATTCATCATCAGAAAAGCAACGCCAAATATCTGTACATGATTGATTATGCTTAAAAATATATGCAAGTTATATTAAATCTGAATAAAAAAAGAAAAAATCAATATTCTATTTTACTTTTCGTTGTGTATCAGCTAGATCCGATTTAAGTGTTGTTTCACTTCGTTGTATTTCTGCTAGTTGTTCACGTGTTTGTTCATATTCTTGTTTTAGTTTTTGTTCATTTTGTGTAACTTTTAATAATTGTTTTTCTGTATCTTGTAATTGAGATTTAAGTCGATTGATACTTTCATTTAATTCATTAATTAATTTTTCAGCAGATTGAAGTTTCTAGATAAATATAAATAGTTAAGAAACTTATAAAATAAAGATTTACAAGTTCTCTTTCTTTATTAGCTCGATCTGCTTCTGCACGAGTACGATCTCGAAGAAGATTGAACTACAAAAAAAACAACATAAATAATGATTTAAAAAAATATATTTCCGAAGATCTTATATCTTACTTTGGATTGAAGTGTTTGTAATCGAACATCTTTATCACGACTATCTGTTTTAATACCCTCAATTTCTCGACTTAATTTTGCTAAATCTGATTCCTAAATATATAAATATGAAAAATAATTCGATGAGATAATTATATATGTATTATACTTTTGAATGTAAATCACGTTGAAGACTTGAAATAAGTCCTGAGGCTGCATTTTTTTCTCTCTTTACTTTATCTAATTCAGTTTTTAATGTATGAACATCTTGAGTGAATGCTGTACTTAATGGTTCTAAAGTACGAATCTATTTAAATAAAAGAAGTTAAATATAAAACTTTTGAAAAAACAAAATTTACTTTATTTGTTAATTCACGAATTTCACCACCACGTCCTTTAACTTCTTTTTCAAGTTGATCAACACGATTTATTATCTCAGTATTATCTTGACCTGCTATATCTAATTCACCACTAAAACTTCCATTAATTATACTTTTATTAGGATCTGAAGTAGTTGTTATTGTCCAAGCATTATCTATATTGAATCAGATATTTTAAAAATAAGACGAAGAAGAAATTGAAAATGAACACTTACGACGAACAACAGAATCACGAATACCATTGGAATTTTGATTAGGTGTTGCTATGATACTGGGTACTTTTTTTATTCCTGCACTTGATGGACGAGTTCTATTGAAAAAGAAAAAGAAACGTTATCATATTATTTAGATAATATAATGAAATTATACCTAAGAGAAAAACTAGGATTTTGTTGTGCATCAATTTGTTGTGGATATTGGCTTGTACTACTTGTTGATCTTCGTGCTGGAATATTTTGTGAAATAAGATGAAGAGAATTCGATGTTTGATGGCGTTGATAAATTGGTGGCATTGTTGTCTATGGAAATATGATTTTTATTATATAGAATCAAAAAAAAGAATATATATACTTCTTGTTGTTGATCAACTCGAAATTCGAGTGGTAGACCATTAAAACCAAATCGTATAAAATCTCCATCAGCTAGTCGAACAGCGGCATTTTGAACACGACATTCATGTACATAAGTACCTGTTGATGAATTAAGATCTTTTAAAATGAAACAACGTTGTTCATTATCATATTCTAATAATGCATGTTGATTATCAACATTAGTGCTCTATTTTACAAAAGAATCATTTTATTTGAAAGATTTTTCTAAAATTAACAAAACCTACATTTATGCTAATATCACAATTTTCTCGTCCAATTGTCGTTACTTTAGGACCGAGAGGAAAAGCATAGGAACCATCTTGACTGTACAAGTAGCCTTTCATTTTATCGATAAATTCGATATACGATGAATAATAAAAAAGATTTCGATCTTTTTATTTAAATATAATATTAAACTAATAAATAACAACGAAGAGAATACTTGCACACGTTGATAAAGTAATTTGATCGATTTCCTCTTGTCGCTTTTCTATTATAATACGTTGAGAGACAGGTTGCCGGGAGCTGATTATATCAGTAACATGAAGTCTGTTGATTTGTTTGCTTGATCAGACAACCATTTTAGAGCAACTCGTTTTTGGTTGCTAAGTAATTTGATGATTTTTTAAAATAAAATCTCGAAAAATACTTCCCATTGTAAATAAAAATACTTTAAATATTAACTTAATAATATTTTTTACAATTTATCATTTTCCATAGATGGCGTTAAATGTCTTATGCGAGATTTCCTTCTACAAGTGTTAAATTTCTACCAGTCCTATCTTTATTTTTTAAATAAAAGTTTTTTTAATGAAAAATCTTAAAAAATTAGATAAAGAGGTTATATTTTATCAGTGTATTGGCTCGATAGAACTGTTATTGTATACTATTTGACCCTAAAAATATTACATTTTTTTTGTTCTGTTTCTTTCTCCTTTTTTTTTTATTGTATGTGGGTCGTCTATTTTGTTTTGATTATATATTATGCCACGTCTTACCTGCCACTATAATGCTTATGCATTTCGACTGCATAACTTTGTACTCATTCGTCAATCCTAGATTTTTTTTCTAAAGACGTAATACCTTGTTGTGACTTATTTGTCGTTTTTAGATTGATTTGGAGAGACTGTTTTTCTCCTTATCTTTCTTAGTTATTATCTATAAGATAATTATGTTGATACGAATCCTGTAAAGTGTATTATGATCAATAAGAAACGACAAGAAAAAATGTCGAGAGATTCGTTTTCCTACGATTAACATATCGAAAAAAAAATACATTTTAACGTCGTCAATTTAAATTCAAGTCAATAAAATAACAAGAAATTTTTGTCCTTATTTCAATTTTATTTAATAATCATGAGTGACGAAGACGAACAACAAACGTGGTAAAAAAAAACATAACAATATACGTTTAATTTTATTATTATTTTATTTTTTCTAGTTCAAATACAAATTTAATTAATGAAACTAATAATCGTCTATTACATGAAATAAAATTAAAACTTCAAGAATTAACACGTGAAAAAGTACTGAAATGAAATTAAAATATATTTTAACAGAGAAATATTTTGTTTTTTTCAGACAAAATATAATGTAGAAAAATTAACACAAGATTCAGATTTTTTACAAAGTGAAATTGATCATTTAAATCATGCTATTGGTGACATTAATAAACAAATTCTTACTCAAACATATACGAAAAAAAATCTGGTATTAATATTTCGAAAAAATAATATTTTGTTATTTTCATTGAATATTTAGAATGCTAAAATGGCAATTCTTCGATCAAATTCTGCACTTCGTTATTCAAATTTAAAAATGGCTCTTGAAATTAAAGAGTAATATTAAATTTTCTAGAAATTAAAAGCTATTCATTTCTATATAGACGTAATGAGATAGAATTACAAAAACCAGATAAAAGTCCTGCTTATCGAGATTTAGCACAACGAAAAATAAATTCCATTATTGAAGCCTTACCACAATTACAGTATGTTTACACAAAAACATTTTTTTATAAATAATTTAAATAAAAACAAAATCCTACTTAGAAAACAAGACGAATATAATCAACGACTTCAAGAAGCAGAAGACATACAAACTACTGCAAGAAATAAACGAGAAGTAAAAGAATTTTTTTTTATTATTCGGTTATTAAATACTTATCGAATTCTTCTTTTTTCTTAGAAACTATTAGAAAGTTTAAATGCAAAAACGCGTAAACATACAGAAACTAAACAATTATTAAATGATAGTACGATTCAATTACCTGATCTTGAACAAGGTAAATAAAAATATTCCTTTTCTTTTTAATTTTATGACAAATATTTTTAGCTATTGAAAAATTACGTTTGGAACGTGAACATATTTCAAATTCACTTAATCGAAAAAATAAACGACGCCGCGTACCTAATAAACAACAAAAATTAAATGATTCACCTGTTCAATCATTTGCATCACTTGAACAAGATACGTAAGTTATTTATATCGTAAAAAAAGAAAAAATTATTCTTCATTATCATTTTATTTAGTCTTGAATATGAAACACGACAGAATAATGAACAATTAGAAAAAATTCGTTTATTATTAAAATATTTTCATGAAAAAATGTCTGAACATCACGTATCAAATAATGATACACCATGTTCAACGCCAACTACAGAAATAATATCCCCACTTTATCATCCATTAACACCTTTTGAAGAACAAACTATTCTTTCATCTTATATGGATGAAAAAGATTATGAACATAATCCATTGATAAAAACAACAACTAATCAATTAACTGTTGCTATTGCAATGAAATTACCAAGAAATTTCATTCCACTAGATATTAATTCACCAACAACAAATGAAATTATACATTCACCATATCATCAAGAAAATATATTTGAATATAAAAAAGAATTACCATCAGATATTGTTGGTAAATATGCTGGAACTAGTAAAAAGAAACAACAACAACAACAATCTTTACATGGAAAGAAAAATAAGAAGAATAAAAAAGTAAGTGATTTTTTCTATTTGATACTATACGATATTTACTAAGAAATACATAAAAAATTTATTTATTATATTTTATTAAGAATTTTGGTATGAAACATTCATCACAAATGGTAGCTTTATATGATGATGTTTGTAAATCAAGTGGTAGTTCTGATACTCTTCCATCTATACCAATGTTTGAATATGAACTTCAACCAGCAGTTAAAGCTTTACAACTTTTAGAACAAAGTGTTGAATCATATTTAAATGAATTATCACGACGACATTCTGGTTATTTATCTATACCTCTTGATGAAGAACATAGTGACATTGTTGAAGATGATATTCCAGATTCAGCATTAGATACTTATTCTGAAGCATCATCATTAATTGAACCAACATATTTCTCTAAAGATTTAATTTCTGTTACTCCACAATTAATAAATATTCCTGAAGCACGTTCATCATCATCATCAGATGATAAAAAAACAATTGTATCATCAGCATCTTCTCCATCTTCTCATCATAGTCATTCAAAAGTAGATTATCATTTTTCATCAAATATTCCATTAACAACTGTCGAAGAATTATCACCATATCTTCCTCCATTAACAATTCATATTGCTCAAATGGAACGACAAATATCTGATGAAGGTTATCGCTCTGTTAGAAATGAAAGACAACAACAAGCAACAGGAACTAATTATAATAATAATGATAAAATACCACTATTAACTCGATCTTCAAGTTATGATTGTACTGAAAAAGTTGATAAATGGCTATCAAATACTATACCATCATCATCTATATTAACTCATGATGATATTCTTAATCTTAATAATTATACTAATTTTCAAGTATAATTTAATTTGAAACTTTTGTTTTTATTAATAAATAACATTTATTCTTTTCTAGGCGACTGATATTGATAATGAAAACGAAAATCTTATTAAATCAATAATTCCGGTGCCTAATGATTAAGAATAATTTTCTAGACACAATCCTTAGTAAATACAGTAATCCCTTTTTCTTTATTTTATTTTTTTGTGCTCGCTTTTCTTGCCAGCCAGTGACTTTTCTTATTCTATATTTATTTTCATATTATGTGCTGCTCTTTTAATTAACTTTGATTCGACTTAAATTTGTTTTTCTTTTCTTTTTCCTCATTCGTTTATTTTTTTTTTGTTAAATATTTGATCGAATCTATATTTGAATGCGAGTTATTATTTATGGACATATCGATACCTGTGATTTGTTTTTGATGTACATCAGTTTTAGAATATAGAAATTTCGTTTTTGTTTTATTTGGAAATATCATGTATTTATTCTTCGAATACGATCAATATATCTCTTGTTTTTATTTCGTGTGATTTTTTGTTTTCATGGATAAGAAAAGCAAGCTGATGATCAGCTCAATAAATTCCTATATATTCATTGATTTCTCTCAATGAAAAATGCCGTGAAGACAATATTTCTTTTGTTTTTTTTATTACTACTTAAATATAACAAATAATTTCATAATAGAATGTATACAGTACTGATCAATGATCGACAAATTATTGTTCATCAGTAACATTTACAAATATCTAGTCGTAGCAATAAAATTTATGGCGCATCTATTCTTGAAATAAAGAATAGTCATTTAGCAGTTCATCATCGTTTGAATGAACATTAGATAAACTATATCTCTAATCTAGACATACTATGATACACTTAAAAAAATTCAAAAGTTCTTTTCCTAGATTGTGGAACATATAATATCTTCCATATTTAGCTATTTTGTTGGGTTTGAGAAAGATAGAAACAGATTACAAACAGTAGCCATCTCAAATACTAATTCTGATACTCATAAAAAAATATATCATCTACATCTAATGTTTCAAGACTGTGAAAATATAACGACAATATAGTTTATTCTGAGCTGTTGTCATTTTAGCAATTCTCAATGTTAGCATTTGTTAAGCTCAGGGGTGGCGCGACCGGGGGGTGTCGGGGGTGTAACACCCCCCCAATCTTTGAAAATTTCTATTTTTTGCTCAACAAAATCGGCAAATTTTCTTCATTTTTTGAACAAAGATCATACTACACCCCCTAAAAAATCAAAAAAATTTCGCTACACCCCCTCAAAAATTCAAAATTTTTTTGTTACACCCCCCCCAATGTTGGCTGACTCGCGCCACCCCTGGTTAAGCTAAATATACGCATATTGATTTGTCGAGAGTAAAATTACTCTTCATCTTAGATATCAAAATATGTTTATTTTTCTTATAGATTCAGTATTTTCAATGTAATATCGATGATAAACAACAATCATGATCTAGAATATTAGTAAGACGAAGAAGATAAAGACGAGCTGAACTTTAAATTTATACTTCGTAAAAACTAATAGAGTGCAAATAGTATAAATAATTTTACTAATAAAATTAACAATCTTTTAATGCAACAACAAAATAGATATATGAATGAAAGTAATATTATCGAGTTTTGTCTATAAATAAATATATCATATTTATGAATTTCTTACTGAATATGGTTTCAGTTCCAACTAATTACTCGCTGTCATCTTTCCGATGACGTTCAACATGTTCGAATCGAATAACCATTTTTTTCATGAGTATCTTCATGTCAATATCAAAGCAAAGATAATAATTTACTCTTCAATATTCAGATTTTATACGATTAATAATAGGATAAATAATTAGAATTGCTTAAATGTAAGCAGCGAATCATTTAACAAGATCTTATCTTTTATTGTAGAAGTCGTTATATTAGAATAAAGACACAAAATAACTCGTTGATATAACAAATAGAACAGAGACAGAAGTAATTCACATGTTAAGAAAAATTGAAAAAAAAGTATTTATATAATCAACCGTAGAAGAAGACAAATGTGAATCATAGCGAAACGAACTTTCATCTAATTCTTTCTTTTCTTTAGGAAGAAAAGCAACAAAAATATTTTGTTTAATTCATCTAATAAATTCCATTCATCGTATTAATATTGTAGTACATAGTTTATGAAAAATATTCTATTCTATTTATTTTCCTTGTAGATTTTCTTATCATCTGTATGAATAAAAAAGAAAAACAAGTGACTGTGACTTGAATAAGATCATATAACTCTTTTATATATCATACACATAGCTGCCCTTGAATTTGATTCTTTTTCTTTACTCGATTCAAATTATGATAGATGTCGACAAATTTATTATTAATGGTGTTCATACATTTATATTAACAAATCAAGTCAGTTAAAAAAATATATTTCTTTAGTAGTAAAATTATCTTTACAAATAATTCATTTATTTTCATTTAATGATAATGTACTTTTTTACATTAAAATTATTTAGAAGAAAAACAATCTGTATTTAATATAATCAAAGATATGATATTTTGAAATGAGAAGAAGATTTTATATTTAATACTAAATATTTTTATCTTTGAAATTATATATTTATTTTTAAAAGTATAGTTATCTTATATTTTGATTTTTTAGATTTTTATGTAATGAATTCTATGAATGAAATGAAACGATTAACATCTGAAGAACTACTTGAAAAACGTCGTTTAACTTTAATGTCACGTACTCGTACAGCTCGTACTCAACTTGATTCCCTATCACTACTTGATTCAAGTTATGATACATGTCGACAAACTCTTCGGCAGTGGCGTTCACAAATGCTTGATCAAATAACTAAAGTTCATGAAACATCACTTTCAGAATTAAATCATACTTATGAACAATTAAATCGTTTTCGTTCAACAATAGTTAATCTTTTAAATGAACAAGATACAAATGATCATTCACCATCACAAACAACACAATTATCATATATTGAATCAAGTTTAAATACATTACGTAATGCTGAATTTACATTTGATTTTGATCATGCAAATCAACTTGATGGTGATTTACAATTATTAAAATTATCAAATCCTCAACAACAACAACAACTACAACAACATCGTTCATTCAATAAATCAAATACAAAATGTCGATTACTTGTACCACATGATCGATATGTATCCGATGTATTTTTTTATGATGATTTAATAACACGAATTGATTGTCAAACAGATGAATGTATTCTTATTTGTCCATTTGATTTATTAAGTGAATTATTAGGAAATGATGAAGAAGTTCGAATACTTATTGATCAAACTTATTTACCATCAATTGGTACACAAGCTCAACGAATGCGTATTGATTATGATCTTATTGTACTTCAACCAGCTCAAGAATGTTGTCCACAATCAAGTGAACGTGTTATAAGAATTATTTGTCATGATTCAACAAAAATGTTATTATGTTTAGAAGAAATTTATACAATATGTAGTCAACAAGGTACTATCATATTAAGGAAATTAAATTCTATTCAGATAATTAGTAGTATAGGATTAAATTGTCTTTCTCATATTTATTAAAAATGATCTGTCATCATACAATTTCTCATAATAATATAATATTCTCATTTCATATTTTTCAGCCTTACCAACTGCATTTAATCCATATACTCCTGTCAATTACAATAGATCAAAAATTCATCTTTACTGTGGCTATTCAGATATGTCAACAATCAATCATTCATCTAACAATAATGATACTACCAAAATGAATCCTTTATTTCCTCTTCAATTAACAAATTATTTTCAAACATCGGCTACTTCTATTTCATCTTTATCAGCATCATCACCGTCTTCTTCTTCTTCTCAACAGCATTTTGATCGTGTTCTTATGCCTGTTTCAGTTCGTCAAACACTTCCAATCACAGATATGCAAGCCGGTGCTTTATTAGGACCTAAAGGAGAACGAATTCAACAACTGCAACGTGAAACAGGTGCTATTGTTAATATAAGTGATTTGAATGATGAGAATGGTGATCGACGAAAACGTATTGTTAATATTCAAGGAAGTCAACAACAAGTAAATAATGCTTTACAAGCAATTCGAAAACTTCTTATGATTGACAATAGTGATGATGATAATAATGAAGAAGATTCATTGAAAAAAGATGCAGGAAAAATTAAAAAAATATGAACTATTTTCATTTGTTGTGTTACAAAAACAAGAAACAAAACTGAAAATAATATAACTTCTATGGCATCAATGGATCATTTTTCTCAGATTTTATGTTATTATCTTGTTTTTTTTATATGTGTATGTGTTTTTTTTGATTTTGTTTTGAAGTAAAGAAAAATACAGTAAATATAGTTTTGTAGAAACTATTTGATCATACACAAATATTAAACATTTTTTATTTAATTTAAATAGAAGAAGACCCAATAATTTCATCAGACTATAACTACAATAGATTAGCTTGGTTTTTTTAATCCAAAAATTTTATAAAAAAATTATTTTCACATTCAACATATGGAGTTCTATATTTTATCGACTTGCTTTTGTTTATTTGAATAGGATTTGTCAAAATCTATATAGTTATATTGAAAGATTTAGAAACCAACAGATGACTCAACATGAAATAGTATATATATCGTAATGAACCATTGTTTTATGTTGTCAAATAGTGTAAGATAAAAATTAGAAAATTATAGGTAGTTCTATATTGAAACTTTTTCATCAATAAATGTGTCATGTCTTAACCTTTTTTTTTCTTGTTTTTTCTTCTTACAGTCATGCTTTTTCTTGTCTGTTCTATAGAAAAGAAAAAGTATATGACGTTTTATTTTTCTATTTTCTACTGAATGGTAAAGAAAGAAAAATTTCGCAATTAATAGGTAATATATATAACTTGCTGTATTTTTATTCTTACAGTCATTTTCCTTTTGCATCATGTCAAAAGAAGTCGAAGAAAAAACCGAAGACATTGGTTCATTATGTATTATTCTTCATCGTGAACGAAGTTTTCATAATATTGATATACGAATATTAAAAAGTGCTATACAAAAATATGCTCGTCGAGCAATGTTTTTCCCTAAAGGTTTATGGTGTTTAATTGAACTTGATCTTTGTTCTATTCTTGAAATAAATCCTCAACTTTATCCGAAATGTCAATTAAATCAAAAACAAATTCAAATGAATTCAGTTCGAATTCGTTCAAATATGATTAATCGTCTTGTAGCAATGATGAGTGAAGATGTAGGTCCATGTGATCATCAATTACCACATAAAATTTATAATTTTTATCAACAATGGATTAAAAATCGTCGAACGATATCAAGTAGAAAAATACTTGTTCAATTATATTATTGTTTAGCTAATCAAAATACTAAACGTATTCGTCTATTGAGTGATCTTAGAACAGTTTATAATTTACCTGAATATTTAACAGATAAGAAAAATTTACATCGTCAATTATTAGAAAAATTCGAAATGAATCAATTGATTGAAATTATGTATGATCATGGATGTAAAGGAAAAACAGTTAGTTGTTTTATTTGATTTTCATTCTTTAAATTTTCGATTTATTTTTAAAATAGAAACAACAACTTTATGAACATATTATTGAACATCTAAAAAAGAAATCCGAACTTGCATTTGCTTATCTATCAGTTTTATTTCAAAGAAACGATGAAAAATTTATTACTCAACAGCTCTGGCCTTATCTTATTCGTACATCACCATTTCCAAGTAGTACAAAAGCTCTTGCTTTCTTCTATAAAACATTAAAACATAAAGAACATTATCTTTATTTATATCATGCAATGGCATTTGTTATCTATGAAGATATTATTCGAAAACTAGATCAACAAATTGATCCAATAGATATTGATACTAATCAATTATATAAAGATCATTTAAATGAAAATACAAAAATTGAATTAGATTCGTTTGTTTTTGATCGACACACAGGTGTATCAACATCAAGAAGTGATTTTGCTCTTGAAGGTGCCAAAGTTACTAATGAATGTAAAGAATTATTTATTGATAAATATCGACAAATGTACAATGAATTTAAAATCATGATTGATAATCAAGAAGACGAAGGAAAGAAAAGAAAAAGAACAACTAAAGATAAAGATGAAAATACCATTAAGAAAAAGGCTAAAGTAAAAAAGAAAGATATTTCCTATAAACTTTTAATATAAATATTTTATTTTTAGATAACTATTGAAGAAAAAACAACAGATAATGATCTTGATGCAGAAATAATTCGTTTAGGGTATCAACTTGATATAAAGTCGGTATCATTTGTATCTAATGAATTATCGAATCTCGCTCATGGTCAACGTCGAACAAGTACTCATAAAAAAGCTGTATTTATTTCATCAGATTATATTTATAAAGGTCCTTATTTATCAAATTCGCCAGGCGATAAAAAAAAATTCTTACATAATTTATATTTTACTCGTGCTTTACTTACACTTGAACAATGCTTAAAAATTCCTGATTATCTTCAATCTATTGTAGATTGGGATTCAATAATTAGAATTGATAATACTAATGAATATTATTTAAAACAAAAAACATTAGGAAAATTATCTACAACTGAAACTGATTTTGGAACAGTAACAACAAAAATAGAAACGAATGTTAAAGTACTTCGACGTGGTTCTCATGTTAATCGTTTAATTGAATTAGAAAAGGATAAAGCGAATTTTCAAGATGATTATAAACAAATTTTTCAAGCGTGTATACAACATTTTTATTTACGTTTTATATTGAATATTGGAGATTCAGGAACATGGAATATACTTGTACGACGTGATGGTATTAAAGGAATATGTGGAATTGACTTTGAAGAAATTCGATCGGACACAGGAAAAAAAACCAATAATCCTCTGACAATGATTATGAGTAAAGTATCTAAACAACAACAAGATATTTATAAATCATATACAGATACTATTACAATATTCGAAAATAAAATTGATCTTTCCAGTGAATTAGCAAAAACATTATCAATATCGTTTAAAATTGATGTTGAAAATATGAACAAACGTATTGAAGCATATGCTAATTGTATTGGAAAGAAATAATAATTAACTAAAAATAATAATTTTTAATCTTGAAAAATAAAGAATAAAAAAATTAATTTTAAGATTTTTTTTAGTTTGAGTGAGGGTGTAGCTATGAATTTATCTCTTTGTTGTTCACATCCTCAAAAATTTTAGAATTAGTTTTATTTTAATAGAGAATTACGTAAAAATGTTTTAAAGTATAATCTTCTTCAAAACATGCAAACATCATACGGATAGCATGTATCGGTATGCTTTTTCCCCTGACGACTTGTATGACTACACACTATCTTAAGGGTGCGGGTGTATATGTTATTGAAGGTGTGAATATGAGTATGCCGCGCTTGTTCTGCTGAGTGACATCCACACTCACACCCAGCTGAAAGTACAATTGATGATAGATAATGAATCAGCTAGATAATTAAATAGACATTTGTAGGATAAAGATAAGAAAAAACTTTATAGAGTAGAGTAAGGGTAAGAGAAAAGCTTACTCTGCACATGTCTATAATTAAAGAATAAATCATCAGTGTTCTTCCAACATATATTAGTTTAAATTCTCGATTTAGACGAAATGTACTATAGTGATTATAATTCAGCTTCAGTGACATATAAAATACATTTGTAAAAAAGTACAAACATTATTAATGTTTTTTTAGGTAGATGCTTCTTATACAAAAGAATAGGTGTACTTCATTGCCTGATGGAAAGAACGAGGCATAAAATTCATGCATAAAAGCAGGCAGTATCGATTATTTTATATTGTCTGAGTTGGTGCGAGTAATCCATATGAGTCATATTATGAAAGTACATCGTTTACCTTGAAAAGACGAAATGTATGATTTAATGAAAATTATTGATTCCATTCCTGTTGTGTTGCAACAACAATAGTTTATTTTATGTCATGACTGGTAAATGGTACTTGAAATGAATCATATAGTCTGGTCATTTCCAGTATAAAAAGGAAAGATCATGATTGAAATGGATTATTTTTCAATTTTCCTTAGATATATAAAGTTTAGTTTTACACTATTTGAAATATAGAAATAGAACCAGATGGCTGGAATAAAGACAGATACAAGGTGAGTTATTGTTTTTGGGCAAAAATGATTTTTTTTATAAGAGAAGTTAAACGAACAATAATAATTCTATTTGTAGGCAAATCAAGAATGGAAATCTCATGAATCATGATCATGTTGCAAGTAATCGATATAGTCATAAACAAGCTCCTTCACGATTGCGATCAGTAATATTTCGACAAAGTCATTTAACAGGTTTTGAGCTTAGACCATTGACTTTGTAAGACAGAAAACAAATATTTTACTCTGTTAAAATAATTTTTTTTTGAATTTAGATTAGAAAGATTATCATTATCACTAGGGAAGTAAGTATACTAATTATATCAATAGATTTTATATTTTGTATATAATTACATAGAGCGATTGATCATCGAACTATTCCATTTGATATAATAGTTCGACAACAATTCAAAGATTTACTTAATGAACCTATATCTAAACAACATCAACGATACTTTGGTAAATATTTTACTGATGATATAAGTACTAAAACATTTACTATCAATGAATTTGATCGATTATTTCAATTAACATCTTTACTTAGTAAGTTTCTATATTCTTTTTAAAATTAATGAATATAATTTTCTTTTTTTTATAGCTAAAAGAATTTTAATAGTATTTAATTTAAATAAATCATATGAAAAAAATTCGATATCAGGTGAAGATATTATTCGTATAGCTCGTCTTCTATGGATTTCACCAATGTCAATCAAAGCTTTTATACTTTTTAAACTATTTGATAGTACTGATAAAGATATAATATCTATCAATGATATTCGTTCATTTTATGAACAATATTTATCAGAAGTTAAATATTTTAAAGATGAAAAAAGACTTAATGAAGTTGTAGAAATATTTTTACAAGGATTTTTCCTGTCAAATAATAAAAATCAACAACAAGAATTAAATTTTGAACAATTTCATGAAATTCTTCAACAAAACCCATCTGTATTTAAATCACTCTATCTTATTAGTATACCTGATCAAGATAATGAAGATGATGAACAAACTATTTGGTTTAAACAATGGTGGATGTATATTAAAAATAATGCAAATCGTATTCTTTTTCTTATTTTATATATTCTAATATCAATTGTATTAATTATTTATGTGATTATTTATCGAGTTATTATTCTTGAAAATCATTCTGTACCACAAGTTATTGCTCGAATTGGTGGTATGTTAGTTAATTTTAATTATGCTCTAGCTGTTAGTCTAATGCTCAAACAAACAATGACTATTATTAGACGTCTATATTATCTTCGCTTATTTATACCAGTTGATGATCATATTGATGCACATCGTTTCGTAGGTACAATGCTATTTATTTCTGCTATGATACATTCTCTTGGTCATGCAATTAATTTTGCTACAAATCTTGACGGTAAAATAAATAAAACTTTTTTTTGTTATATTGAAATTTATTTATTTTTCTTATTTCATATATTAGGACATTCATGGTTTGCATTAATGTTTACAACAGCTGCAGGAATTGGTTGGGTTGATCATTCAGCTACTATTACTGGTGTTATACTATTTGTATTACTTCTAATTATGGTTATTTGTTCATTTCAATGTATTCGACAACGATCTGGATGTTATCAATTATTTCGTTATACTCATTATTTATTTTGGCCAATCTTTATTCTACTTGTAATTCATGCACCGAATTTTTGGAAATGGGCTATTGGACCAATGGTATTATTTTGTTTTGAAAAAATTTATTTATTTAAACGACATTTACCAAAATATGGTCGTACAAAATTAATTTCAATTCGAATTGAAGATGAACATGTTCTATCGTTAATGATTGAAAAACCATCAAATTTTAATTTTCATGTTGGAGAATATATTAATATTTGTTTACCAAATATTGGTAAGTTTTAAAAAAAATATACTGAAAAGAATTATTATCGTTTTTTTTATAATTTTAGTTCGTAATGAATGGCATCCATTTACAATTTGTAGTAGTCCAGAACGAAAAGATATAATTCGTTTAACTATTATGAAAAAACAAAATTGGACAAGAAAAATCTATGAACATTTTTCAAAAGAACAAAATTCTGATAATAATAGTCAAATGACAGAAATTACAGTGGATAATTTAAACAATAAGTCAGAAACAAATTCAAAAAATTTGTCACTTTATCCAAGAGAAATTATATTTACTGATAAACAAAAAGATGCTGTTGTTTGTATAGAAGGTCCATTTAGTACTTGTACATCGTATATATTTGATTGTGAACATGTTGTATTAGTCGGAGCTAGTATTGGTATAACACCCTATATAAGTGCTTTAGAAAGTTTAATCTATCAATTACGAGAACAACGTTGTAAATGTTTACGATGTGGTACAATGAATTATAAACAATCAGTATTAACAAATCAAAAATTGAAAAAAATTGATTTTATTTGGGTAAATCGTGATATTGGAAATGTTTCATGGTTTCGTAGTATACTTGATGAATTCGAAGCTGAACAAGAATCATATTTAGCTGCTACAACACCATCAACAACTAATTCACAATCAAGATATCTTGATATTCATCTTTATTGTACATCAATACGTAGTAATGAACAAGCTATGTTAGGAAATCTTCCTTATCATCTTGTTGCTAATATGTATGAAGTTATACAACATGAAGATATGCATACACAATTAAGAACACCAACACATGTTGGACGACCACCATGGAAATTATTATTTGCAAAATTTAAAGCTGAACATCGATCAACAAATGTATTTTTTACGGGTAATAGAATTATGGCAGATGAAATTAAGAAACATTGTGATGAACATACTTTTCGATTTCAACATGAACCTTATTTTTAAAACTTTTGCCAAAGAACACGGATATCTTTCTCTCTCTCTCTATGAATATTCATTTTAATTATATTTTCATGAACAGTAATTCATGTGTGTTTTTTATTTTTATGTATGAATAAATGATTTATGTGAAAAATATATTTTTTGTATAAATAGTAGAATTCATTAATCACTATTTTTAACACAGATATCTATTCTTGAGGGTGTGTGTGTGGGTGTGGGTGAGGGTATAGGTGAAAATGTGGGTATAGATATGGGTGCAGGTGAGGGTGTGGGTGTCCCTTGGATTAGCACAACAGCCACACCCTTACTTGTTTCATGTGTTCTAAATAATGTGTTTCTTCCCATGTTTTCTGTTACGATCAAAATGCGACGCAGTTACGTCTTAACTCCGATTGCACTGTTACTCCGTAATTGCGATGCAGTTGCCCGTAAGCGCATCGCATTATTCGCATTTTTTTGCAACTGCAACGCAACAATCGCATTGTCGTGTATTCATATTTCGACACCATCTATGATGTGAGTAAAGGTATCATATATATATATCACATTCACAGCAACACCCACACCCACATCTGCATCCCGATTCACACCCAGATGCACACACACACACCTACACCCCCTTTCACACCCAGACGCACACCAACACCCACACCCATCTAATGTTGTTTCAGTGTAGAACTATTTGATGATTTCTCTTTTTATTAGTACTTGATTGTTCATCAAACATCATTTGTATTTTGAATTTATTGATGGATTAAAATAAAAGTATAATGCATGAAAAAAGTAAAAAGAATAAGTTCAGTTGACAGCAATATAGATTATTGCTAGTAGATGTTGGTGTAGTGGAATCAATAATAAAGCATTTATTTCCTGTTGTACATGTAACATTCAAGCCAAGATATTCGCCGTAAACTTTGACTTGTACATCTGATATAAGATCGCAGTTTGGATAAACATCAATAAAGGATGTAATAGTCGTGTTTTTATTAAGCACTAAAACCCGATCTGTAGTGGACGAATATTCAGGCCATGTTAAACTGACATCATCATTAGGCTGATGTTTTGTAATCATATTTGTCCAATATCGACGAAGAGATGTTGCCAAAGGTATTTCATCGGGATTGAAAATTATATCTCCATAAAATGTAGCACTTACTGTTTGAAACAAACTAAATACTTCGGCTCCATGAAATGCACCAGGCCACATGACTAAGGATGGGTGTGTCAAAAAAACAGACTCTGGCGCATGATCGAATGTGTATAAATATTTCGGATGTCCAGTTATATATCCAGCTGTTCGACGAGCACCACAAACAAACATACCTTCTGAGAATAAGGCTACAAATGCTCGCGAATAATTACCATTGAATTTATCTGGAGCATATAATGCCTGAATATCACGATTATTAAACGCTGCAATGGGTAGAATGCGAGTTAAATAATCTTCAGCACTGGTCGGTGGATATGCATAATCTTCATACAGAGCACGTAAAAGAATTTCATCACGATTTGCTCCTGTTAATGTAGGTACCTGATTGATTTTTCCCGTCAAAAAAGCTTGAAGTGGATGAACAGGGATTTCTACTCCATCAACGATTAAACCAAATGGAACAGGTACAACAATCTTCTCTAGATCTTTGTATGCTGATGATGTCGATAGTGGAATAGATACATTGCCTATGGCAGCTATCAGTCGAGTACTGCTAACAGCTCGTAAACAATCTAGTTGTTGACTTGGGTTAGTCATATCACAACCAAAAAATAATGCAAGATTATTTGCTGTTGAATAGGCAAATGATTTATCACGCAAAAAATTTACAGCATCGCACGATCCGCTTTGCATTATACTAGCATGAAATAATCCAGCCGACAATGGTGATATCAAATGTATACAAACTGATTGAGATCCGGCCGATTCACCCATAAGAGTAATATAATTTTGATCACCCCCAAATTGTTTAATATTATTTTGAACCCATTTCATTGCCATACGTTGATCAGTAATACCTTGATTTGCAATAGTCTGTCCATTCTTATCTAATAAACTTGACTGAGCAAAAAATCCCATCACACTCAGTCGATAGTTCATACTAACCATAATAAATGAGTTATTTTCTTGTATAGCGGCATTTGTCCAATGAAGTCCATCCCAGAGTACTTGCGTTGCGCTTCCATCTTTAAGTCCTCCACCATGAATCCATACCATTACAGGATAACCGTTTGGGTTAGATGATGGTGTGCGAGGTGCCCAGACATTTAAATATAAGCAATCCTCATCAAATGGGCCTTGACTAGGATCTCCTCGGTCAAATTGCGGGCAATATGCACTGTAATAAGTTGCATTTCGTATTATGTCATTTTGACTATCAGGCATAACATATGGTTGAGCCTTTTGCCATCTGAAAGCCCCAACAGGTGGAGCAGCAAAAGGAATTCCAACCCAAACATTTGTCTGTCGAATAGTAAAACCAGCAAATTTACCCGATGTCGTAGAGACAACAGGAGAACCTACGGATTCATTAGCAAATAGATATGGACTACCGCTTAGCCTAGAGACTATTGTCACAGGTAAAATACAACATAGCCAAAAGAGAAACATGATATACAGAATAAATTCAGCCAAATGAATAATAGTTTTTGTGCGCAATAGAACGAGTTTGATAAGAAAAACGGCGGCGACACTGATATATATACGACTGATTCTTGATAAGCTTATTGACTTAGTATAAAGGACAACATAAGAAAACGTATTTACCTGCATAGGTAAGTGTATGAAAGAAAAACAAAAAAATCTTCACATTAAGTTCTTAAAATAAAAATGTTCGTATGCGTACCTTGCACAATGCGTACGAATAATATATATATATATATATAAAACGAAAAAACAATATTTAAAAATTCTTGAGTTTCATCTGATGGAATCATATACAGGATCAAAATAATATTTATTTAGAGCTGTTAGAATGACTTTTAAATATTAATAAACTATTGAAATACTGCGTTTTTACAAAGATTCATAAACTATCATTTACAATTGTTAATTTCGTCGACAATTCTTATAATGTAAAGAAAAGACAAGGGGGTAACAGCGGACTTCAAGACTTCAAGAGACTTCAACAAGGGAGACTTCAATTTTTCAAAAGACTTCCAAAGACTTCAAGTGATTTCTAAAGACTTCACGAGAGTTCATGAGACTTCATAAGACTTCAGGCGTGAAGTCTCTGTTGTTTCCCCCTCGATTGTAACAGAATAATATCTGTGAAAATACGACATTTTCTTTGATTTTCCCGTGAAATATATGCATCCCTGAAAATTCTAGAAGACATCATGAGACTTCGCAAGACTTCATGAGACTTCGTGAGATTTCATGAGACTTCATGAGACTTCATGAGACTTCACGAGACTTCATAAGACTTCGCAAGACTTCATCAGACTTCGTGAGATTTCTTAAGACTTCATGAAATTTTAAAAACTTCTAGAGACTTCATATGACTTCAAGACTGTCTCCATAGTTCAAGAGACTTCGTGAAACTTCACACGACTTCAAGAGACTTCAAGACTTCATGAGACTTCATGCATGAAGTCTCTGTTGTATACCCCTTGAGAAAAGAAAAAGGATAGGTGTGGGTGGATGCAGGTTAAGGGTGTGGGCTTATCGTGTCCTTAACACCCACGTCGACCCACCCTAGCAATTGGATATTACAGTATGCATAGTTATATTGCATCTCCAGAAAGTGGAATTGCTTTTAATTCAATTAATTATCCTTGGAATTCTCATTTACCAAATTATTATCCATCAAATCAATTTAATAATAATTATAATCGTTTCTTTTTATTCCCATTAAGATTTCATCCTTTCTTTTTCTTATAGCATATATTTATAATAATCAACTATATCCATATAACAATCTAGGATCAGGAATTCCTTCTTATGGTTAATAGTCAGATAGAACAAATAATGTTTGGATATCCTCAAATAATAATTTTAGTAGATCAATACGTTCACCTTTTATCAATGCACCATCAAATAGAAGTATTCATCAATAATCATCACAATTACAAAATAAACAATTAATATTAAAGAAAAGTTATTTTCTTTTCAATAAACGATTATAAATACTATTTAAGGTATTATAGATTATATTGTTTGATTCAGAAACAGAAATAATTAATAGCAGAGTTTATCTATAACAATAATACCTTTTAAATTCAGATAAAAGAACAAATAATGAATTGGTTGATATGTTCTTTTTATAAATGGTTATGAAAGACAGTCTGTTCTATTCTGGTATTCTCAGTATTTCGAAAGATTTATTCAAAATAAAGTTTAGATTTTTTCACAGTAGTAGACACTTATTAAATGACTCTACTACAGAAAAAAATAAAGATCGAACAAGAAAAAATCATGAATATAATAAGTTTGAAACATCCAAAGATAAATAAATGACGCGAAAGTACAGGAAATTGAAAGAAAAATTCATTAATATTATCTTCAGTTTGTGTTTTTTTGTCGTTCTTGTTATTAGAATCCTTTTCGTTGCAAACTGCTGTTATTACACCACCTGCAGTAAGACCGGCTTCAAGTCCTACATCAACAGATGTTGCTGTAACTACATTAATATTATTTTCAATAACTTTTTCGTTATCATCTTCAGTTTGTTTGCTCTTGTCATTCTTATTATTAGAATCATGTTTTCTGAAAACTGCTGCTGTTACACCACCTACAGTAGCACCGGCTGTAAGTCCTACACCAACGGATGTTGATGTAGCTACAGCACCAACTGCTCCAGCAGATTGGCATAGCGCAAAAATACTTCCAGATACTGTTGTTGCTGTTTGAAAAGATGCTGCTAAACTACCGGCTGCCACACCAGCTGATGTAAATCCAGCCGCACCTAAAACAGGTATTATGGCCAATGGCGCTATCGCAGCAGTTGATATGCCAATAATGCATGTTTTTGTAATTGTAGAGCTTTCATTCCATTTATTTCCAGCATAATCTGTACCAATTTCTATTGTTTCTTTAACTTTTTTGGTTGTATCGGTTACTCGCTCGAAGAATTGAGATGTACTGTTTTTGAATGTTGAAAAAGATGCCATTTAAGTGAATAATATAGTACAGAAAAAAATCGATCATATAGAAAATAAGTATTAAACTTGTGATTTGAAATCTATCTTCAAAAACTTGATTAATTCAATAATCTATAATGAAGAGATTTATTTTATCATATCGTGTCATTATTTCAAAAAACAAAAATTTCTTCATTGCATTATTCGGAGATCTTTTTCAATGACTGATGAATGTTAAACAATTTGTATTATCACGTATTCTTTTTAGTATTCAAACGAATAATTGAAAATATTTAGAATAGAAATAAGTAGGAAAAGATAAACATGGATAAAAACGATTATTTAATGTATTTCACAAGTCAGAATAACTGTTTCATTGTTAGATAGTGATATGTTCTTCTTCTCTTTTATCGTTCTCGGTGTTTTCCCTTATGATATATGTGATGGACTTTTCTTTTCCTATGAGTAATAATCACAGCCATTATTCCGGTGTATCCTCCTCGAAACAAAAATGTCTATAAATCAAGTTCTGCTCAACCCATTTTAATATATTTGTTTTTATTTGATGGGTCTATATATGAACAGTTACTTCTGAAAAAATCAAATTTTTATCTGTCTTAGTTTACGACATGTCGATACAACAGTACCAAATATACAGCTTTTCACGACATCTACCAGTGAAAACGCTTTTTTTTTGGAATCTAGTCTTCGCTTTTGTAAACTATTATTTAATCAAAATTTGTAGCGCTCGTCTTGAACTTTTAGAATATTTCCACAATATTTGTTTTAAATGGGTTTTTATAAATAGAAATCATTTATACAAGAGATGAAGATACCTCTTATTGTCGTGCCAAGCGACATTAAAATGACCGGCTTGTCACTTTCAAAAATCGTTTGGAACGAATTTGATCGAGCATGAAAGAGGAAGGAAGCGAAAACAATCTAATAGTTACATGATATTAGTCTTTGAGGTCCTATCATTATAAAAAAATCATTCAAAACACCTGAAAATACGGTTTCCACACAAAATGAAGAGCGACATTGATTGTTGAAATTATACATAGTAACTGATCGATTTATGAAGGCAGTGTGTTAAGATTGAGTATGCATCGATAACAATTTTATAATGTTAACACGTCTGCATGTCTATCATATTCAAAAAAGAATAAAAGAGTAGTCACAAAATTTCTCACTTATTATGAGAAACAAAAATACTTATAATTCATTACGGGTATAATAAACGAGAAAGAGAAAGAAACAGAGCATTTACTCGCATCGTCATAGTCTAACGACACCTGAAAAAGCGAATCTTGTCGATGTCTTCAGAGTTAACTGTATTTAGTAGACGTTTTTTAAAACGTTTTCATTAACATTGTAGTTTTAATACAAAAGTCATTTATCATTGTTCTGACGTGAATGATAGTTGCGGATCTCCGCGGTCTAACAAGAAGGGTGTGGGTGTGCATCTTCACTTAAGCAAGCCTCACCTATACCCACCTTCGATCAACTTGTTACCCAGTAAGAACTGTTGTTCGACGAATATTGCGATAAGTTAAACTGCCAAATATACTCATAATAGATGATGGAATCACACAAACAATAACAAAAAAAAATATTGGTATATAAGCGGTAAGTATAGGATTTATACTTATGCATGTGTTTGTAATTGGTAAAATTCGAAAATATAAATAGAGTGGAATTGCATGAAAACACCAAATGATAATAACGACCATAAGAATTCGATAAAACACTTTTATTTGACTTATATGACGTAATGATACATTTAATGATGTAATTACAAATTGATCAATGGTACACAAACATGTGAATGTAATCGACGTAGTGGTCGATATCATCAGAAGTACTTGTCAAAATTTATACCATTGTAATAATATATTAGCAAAATCAATTGTTGCAACACTTGAAAATATATAATAAGGATATTCTGTTTATTTTAATTTTCTATTATAATCACGAATAAAGTGAAGGCACACTCTGTATCTATATTATAAAATGAATATGAATACTAAAAATTTCCATTATGCTCTATAATATAAAAATAAAGTTAAAAGAAAGAGTAAAGATTTGTATGTAATTATTAAACTATTTTGTACTTAGTTTAAAATTAAATTGATTATTTTAGTTAATATATAGTATAGTGTTTAGCTAGAAAAGGTCAGTATTGAAATTTCGAAGTTTTCTACTTCAGTATATCTTTGGTTCATCTTGACCTGAACAATAGTAAGTTTTGCCATAATAATAACACAGAAGAAATTGATGAGGAAATCTCATTGGTTAATATTGAACAATTAGAACTTGTTTAACGGGTTTTATATTATATATAGAAGAAAAATTATTTGAAAAAACCTAGAAATTCAACCAGTAACGTCAATATTAGCTTTACTGTAGTTTATAGATTGAGATGAAACCTTTTTTTGACTTAAATACTTCAAATTTTTAATTAAAATAAAATATACCAGAAACACCAATCTTCTTTTTGTCGAATACGATCTGGATGAGGAGATGAAAAAAGAATAACTCATACACACACTTTCATACACTAAATCGTCTAAAACAATTTAATAAACAAATGCTTCTCTGTCTTAAGGTTGTCAGAAGATCAATGATGACATGCAACATTTTTCTCATTACAACACGACTGATAAAGATATCTTTGTTCTCACATAACAACACCTTGGTAGCATGCTTTTTTTTACATTAGTTTTCTTTTATTTGGTTAAGTTGATTACAATGTGTTTCATGTGACTATTTTCATTTGATTCTTATCTATTCATACATACATATATCTTTTTCACGTATATATAAGCATCCACAGTGTTATTCATAGTCATTGGGCATAATGATGACAAGTATTGGTCTATTATTTGATCTTAATCAATTAAATGAAGAACAACAAAAGAAATTTCAGATTGTTTATGATGAATTAAAACCAAAGTTTACATCTTATTTAGACTACAAACTTAATTTACCATTGAAAACGCCATTGAATAGAGAAGAAGAAGAAAATGAATGGCATTATGAATTACATAGATTTCTTCGAGCTAGAAAATGGAATGTAGAACATACAATTAAATCACTTCATGAGTTTTTGCAATGGCGAATAGATAATCAAGTTGACTCGATTTTAGAAGATGAAGTCGTAATACAACGAACGGAACTTCTACGAAAAATTCTTCCAAACGTCAATCATGGTTATACGAAAGATGATCGACCATTGTATATAGAAAAATCCGGTATTATATATGTCGATAAAATATTAAGTGAATTTACAACAGAACAACTACTTCAATGTCATATCTATTCGCTTGAACTGAATTGTCAACGAGCAAAAGAACGTAGTCGACAAATAGGTAAACATGTGGAAAGTTTTACAATCGTTTCAGATTTACAAGGTTGTAATATGAATATTAGAAAAATCTTTGCTCCATATAAACAATCACTTTATGTTGATAATAATTATTATCCAGAACGACTTGGACAAATGATTTTTATCAATCCGCCATCAGTTTTTCCTGTTCTTTGGAGTATAGTCAAACATTGGCTTGATCCAGTAACTAAAACCAAAATTATTGTTGTGAAAAAAGGTCCCGAAGCTATAAATACATTATTACAATATATTGATTCTGATCAATTACCAATTGAATATGGTGGAAGTTGTCAGTCATGTCCAAATGCTCCGAATTGTATTTCAGTGTATGATTGGAGTAAAGACTGTATCAGTGAGAATTCAGAGAAAAAATGAAACATATTTTTATATAATTTAATAAAAATATAATTTTTTTTCGAAATAGACTTCAGATGAAGAGGATAATATCATCTACATTTACATCCTCAGTATACAAGTTTATTTTTCAGAAAAAAAATACCATTGTTCAATACAAGAAAATCAATAGACAGCTTTTTTCGATGTGTGCAGACTATTAGTTTTTTCAATCGAAAGTAAAATTAATACGAAGACTATTATAAAAAGAATTATTAAAGTGATTAGCATCATTACTGCTATTACTAGATGAATTACCTATTTGTTTCTATAATTTTCCATACAATAAACAGTAAAACAAACACCAGATGAAAACAATTCTTCTTCATCCGAATATTCCGAAAATGGTTTAAGATCAACCGTAAAAGCATGTGTTACTGTCATAATATAAGTAAAACATTTCCAAATTCTTCAGCTTTATTTCGATTTCTACTACATGAAACGAATGCTGGAAATGAATGTATTGGTTTACTTTTATCTTTGAAAGAATCAATCTGTTCTCGATTTAAATAAGCACCATGTCATAAAGTTTTTCTTCATTTCGTTATTTTATGATTTGATGGATTATTCCATAAAAGTAAACAAAATAGATCTAATGTTGATATTTTACAACGCCAATCTTGTTCACATTCTTGACTATTTATTAATCTGATAGATTCATTTAACCTTTTATATGAAAAACTTTCTAATGAATAGAGATAAGCACAACATTCTCCCATACTTCTTTCATTTCACGTAATATTTTTGCGATTTGTTCAGCTTTACATTGTTTTCCAATTTTTTTACCTTCTTCTATAATACCATTAGCAGCTGCTTCTACAATCACTGGAATAGTTATCCCATTTTCTGAAGGATGTGTGTGTAAATATGGGTGTGGGTGAGATGAATACAAAATTCATACCAACACCTAGCCTCATCCACTCATACCCACATCGTTTCCCAGTTCAGTCATAATCAATACTACACATTTTATGCTGGTACTTATTTAAGAAAAACCTTTTTTGCTTTAATATCATCAGGCAGAACCCTATGCTCTAGCATTACAGGAAGGGACGTCGCAGGGTTTTACAATTCTCAGAGAAAACCATTTACCGTTCGCCCCTACGCGCAACGATCGTTCACAGCTCTGCTCCTATCAAACAAAACCATTTCTAGCTCAGCCCGACTGAAAAGAACATTTTACAGTTTTAATATTGCTGCAGAGAACCTTAACTTACTTTTGTATGCGCTGTACACTCACAAAAACGTTCTACCCAAACTTTACTTTTTAAGAACATCATCATACCCCTTATCGAACATTAAAATTGGTAAATAAATCTTATCACTACAATATAGCAGACGTTTAAACAAAAGAGTTTTATTTATTGTTTCTGTCAAAAATTATAACACAAAAGAAAATAGTCACATGATCATCACACCGGCTTTTTGCACCTTCTAAATACAGTCAATCTTCCCATTCATCGTCGTCTTCCTTTGTATTTCGATAAAGTAAATCATTGATTCCATCCACCGTACGCTTGCTGACTTGATTGTCCGCGAGATCAAGTGCGGTGAGTGTCTAGATAAACAAGTGGAGATAAAGACGTGGTATATATAAAGAGAGAACGAAAGTTACCGTGTTGTATTGTAGTGCTTTATACAAAGATTCTGCTCCATCATCTCCGATTTCATTTTGATAGAGACCTAATACGGTGAGTGTCTAGATGGAAAAATGGAGGTAAAGACGTAGAATAGATAAAAAAAGCATGAGAGTTACTGTGTTATGTTTTAATGCATCACCCAAAGATTGTGCTCCATCATCTCCGATTGCATTGATACGGAGATGTAATGTGGTTAGTGTCTAGATGAAAAAGTGAAGGTAAAGACATAGTATAAACAAAGAGAGAATGTGAGTTACTGTATTATGCCGCAATCCATCACTTAAGTATTGCGCTCCAACATCTCCGATTCGATTGTTCGAGAGATTTAATTCAGTGAGTGTCTAGGTGAGCAAGTGGAGGTAAAGACCTGGTATAGATAAAGAGAAAATAATAGTTACTGTGTTGTGGCACAATGCATCACCTAAGTGTTCTGCCCCCTCATGTTCGATTTTATTGTTCGAGAGACCTAACGTGGTTAGTGTCTAGATACAAATGTAGAGGTAAAGACGTGGTGTACATAAAAAGGGAATGAGAGTTACTGTTTTGTGTTTTAATGCATCACTGAAAGACTTTGCTCCGATATCTCCGATTTGATTGCACGAGAGATTTAAGGTGGTGAGCGTCTGTATGAAAATGCGGAGGTACAGAGATGATATAGATTACGAAAAAAACACAATTACCATGTTCTGTTGTAGTGCATCACTCAAACATTGTGCTCCAACATTTCCGATTTTATTTTCTTCAAGTTCTAATATAGTGAGTGTCTAGATGAAAAAGCGGAGGTAAAGACATAATATAGATAAAAA